CGCGCGAAGAACAGAAGAAGACAGAAGACAGTAGACAGTAGAATTGAAGGTGGCAGATAATAAAACTCCAAAACTTTCTAGCTATCTAGCAGGAATTGCTTATATAAACCTCTCCATCAATGGGGAAAAGATTAGATTCCAGTTTATTCAAACAGAGCCCAACTTAGATCTCAGAAATACCCTGCTCTGCGGTCAAACTCATATTGATGTCAAGTTCTGACAGTAGCCCGCAAATTGAATTCCAAAATCCACGTCAAGTGGCCCAGCAGCCCAGATCAGTTCGGATGCAGGTCAAGTGGTCAAGTTGTGCCACAGATCGAGGCATTGCTGCCAACAGGTAGGCTATATAAAGCGCCTGCCTCGAGATCGCATTGGTTTTCATTCATGACTTCTTGTCGATTGCTATTTTAAAAAAGCTTCGACTGATCCCCCCTAATGATCGCCGCCCCTCCTACACACAAGCCCACCCCCGTCCAAACAAACAAAAAAAATCTTTAACAAACAAACAATGAATTATAAGGCTTTCAATAATGCTCACGGTTCAGGCGATGATGATGTCGAATCATGGGCAGAGGGAGGGGAAACGCTTGGCTGCTTTGCGGCACGTTGCCTAACACACACATACAAGCGCACAATCGCACACAGGCAGCTAGACGAATGTGTGTAGCGTGAAATGCTCTCACTTTCCTTTGAAACTTGTTATTCGCATTGCAGCTGCCAGCAGAGTTCATTCACATTTGGCAGCCAGACCAAGAGAGCAAAAGCAAGAGAGCGTCGCGATGAGAGCTCAACGTGCAGGTGATAGAATCAAATAGACTGGCAGAGCGAGAGCAAGAGAGGGAGAGAGGTACATAGCTCGAAACTGGCACAGCTGTTCCCGAAAGTTCTTCGCACAAAGCAAAGCCCGAATTGGCCGCAGTTCGTTTGCGGGGGCCGTGAGGCATTGAAATGAGTGCAAATTGTCGCTGCTGAGTGCATTGAACTCTCGCTCACTGAATGGGGCTCGAGTTATGTTTTGCTCAATTAGTTTGTATTTATTGTTGATAATTATATAATGCTCAAACTGCAGTTTGAGCATATCGCCGAATGCTGCCTGATGGCTGATGGCTGATGCAACTTTCCGGGCCTATCCCAAGCCACTCAAGCTACAGTTTTAGCTTATTGCATTGCCAAAGATTTCCTTGAACGCATTTTAGCCATATAGTCGCCGTTGCATTTGCCGTTGCCCGCCCCGCTCCGCCCCTTTGGGCCAAGCCCACATCTAACATGCAGTCGTCCGCCTGAGGTTTCTGTGTCGTTGACCGACCGCCAGCTCAAATGAACTCCAAACCAAAAAGCTAAACCAATGGCTTGCAAACTGCAGCAGCAGCTGTAGCTGTAGCAGCTGCAGCAGCAGCAGCGCCGACCGACAACAACAAATTTGCATGCAAATGCACTGAGAGAGCGCTGAGCAATTGAGAGCAATAGTGCACGATGTTCGGTTCGCTCGCTCGCTCGCTTGCTCGTTCGGCCGTTCGCTTCGTTATGTTCGCTCACTCGTTCGATGTTCGGCGTTCGGCGCTCGTCGCTGGCGCGCTGAGCAGCTCCACATTTGGAGGTATTTGACCGAAAAGTGGGTCACGACAATGGCTGGGTTCGTTGAACTGAACTGCCAGTCAGCCAGCCAACCTCTGCTGACGTCGTCGTATTATGTTGACGTCGTCGTCGACGTCGTTTGGGACTTTTTGGTTACGTAGCCTTCCAGCATGTGTCGTTATGCAGCGGTGAAGCGGGGGGCAACGCATTTCTGTGTTGTCTCTTACGTTTTGTGTGGCCTCAAAAAATAAAATAAAAAAAACAGAAGAAAGAAATAAAAAAAAAACAGCGCGGGACCGAAATACATATTATTTAATATTATTAATAACGAGGCGTTAAATTTTTATAGTTCACAAATGATTTGAGCATATTTTCTGTGTTAAATAATCGAGCAGTCTTCCCGCCTAGCTGCACATTGGCTCATAATTGGGGCAACATTGTTTGGTCACCGATTTGTATCGTCAGTGATGAATAGGTTGAGTTGGGAAATTGTAATCCCCCACACTTGACAGTCTCTGGAAACATGCTCGCATTTAAAAATCTACACAGACTGCCCACCCAAAAAATAGTTTACTCGCGCGTTGAGAGCTGTTCCACATCTGAGATCCTCTTATGCCTGTCATATGTATTGATAGCCCTACCCCCGATATCAATGTGTCCCCCCCCCCCTGCCACCCACTCAATATCAATTAATCTTATTTGTCACTCATGTTTGAAAACAAGCACGCCAGACACACACACACACACAGAAATATTCTAAGCCCCTTTCCTAACGCAAAGCATCAAACAAACTTCATACACCTACACACATATACATATGTACATGTGTGTGTGCGTACACAACATGTATGTTGGCATTGTTGTTGCTGCTGTTATCAAACAAAGCTGATCAGTCAGGTGGCAGTAGCAGAAGCTACCTAAAATCTGCGTCGCGTAGGTGTTCCAAGAATTGTTTACAATACAAAAAAACAACAAAAAAGCGCCCCCAACAAATGCAGCAGCAGCAGCGCCAGCGCCAGCGGCGTCTATTGTTAGCTGCCCGCGTCGACGTCGGCGACAGCGTTGGAGTGAATGTCCTCAGTCGGTGCACAAAAACAAAAACAATATGTAGCGCGAGGTTGGCAGCAGCAGCGGCAGCAGCAGCAGCAGCAAGTAAGCGAGAGAGCGAGAGCGCGAGGGAGCAAGAGATAGAGCGAGAGCGAGCCGACGCCAGCCAAAGCTTGAGCCGAACCCGAACCACATCGAGCAGCCATGAGTTGTTGGAACTGTTGGCGCTGCTTTCATTCGCAAATTGCTCGTCGTTGGCAGCGGTTGTGCAGAGCAAGAAAAGCGCGCGAAACAGAATAAACTGAAACTGAAACTAAAACTAATAAAAAAAAAAACGGCAAATAAGAGCAACTAGAACAACGTTACAACTAAAAAGCTAGCAACAAATAGTTTAAATAATCATATTATTATTTTTATTGGTGCCAGTGCAGTGAGAGAGAAAAGAAAGAGTGCACGACAGCGAGAGAGAGAGAGATCATTAAGACTTCCATTTCCGTTTCTTGTGCCCGGAAAGCGCAGCAAAATTTTTGGCGCTCAAATTGTTGGTGAAGTGCATTTGAAAAATTGAGTTTCAAGTTGAAATCAAAGCAAACGCAAACGCAAACGCAAAAGCAAACGCAATGTTCCTTATTAGCAAATTGTAGAGCAAAATCAACAGCAGTCTAGATCGACGAAGAGCGAAAGAAAGAAAGAGCGAGAGAGAAGTTCAAGTGTCATTGTGGTACCAAAAAGAAAAGTTTAATTTTTAGCAAAAATGGTTTGTGCAATGGAACAGCAGCAGCAACAGCAGCAGCAGCAGCAGCTTCAGCAACAGTTGCCACAACAGCAGCAGCACAGCACAACAATTGTGCTGCTGACAGCCGGCAACAGCAATGTGCATATTGTCAGTGCACCGCAGCAACATCAGCAGCAGCAGCAGCAGCACCAGCAGCAACAGCAAATCAAGAGCCAACAGCTGAAGCAGCAGCACTCGGCATTGGTCAAGCTGCTGGAGTCAGCGCCGCTCAGCAAACAACAACAACAACAGCAGCAGCAGCAGCAACACCAGCCCAGACAAATTGTTTACCTGCAACAGCAACAGCAACGCAAAAGACTGAAAAACGAAGAGCAACAACTGCAACAACAGCAACAACAAACACCTGCAACATTAGTAAAGACAACCACCAACCAGACAACAAGAACCACAACAAATAGTATTAGTCAGCAGCAGCAGCAGATTGTATTGTTGCTGCAACAGCCAACTGCCACGGCAACAACAGCGGCAACAGCAACAGCAACTGTGACAGCAGCAACACCAAAGCCATGCGCCGATCTCAGCGCCAAGAATGACAGCGAATCGGGCATCGATGAGGACTGTGCGAACAGCGACGATGATATGCCGCCCCATGTGCCTGCCAATGTTGGCGGCGGCACAGCAACAGTTGCTGCCGTCGACTATGAGCAGTATCAGTGCCCATGGAAGAAAATACGTTATGCGCGCGAGCTCAAGCAGCGTGAGCTGGAGCAGACGACATTGGCGCGGCAGCAACACGAAGACAAAACAATCACAGCGGCAGCAGCAACAACAGCGGCAACTGCAACTGCAACAGCAACAGCAGCGGCAACTGCAACAAGACCCACCAGCAACAAGCTCAATCAACTGCACTGTGATAGTCCTTTTTCCGCGCAAACACACAAAGAAATTGCCAATTTGTTGATGCAGCAAACTCAGCAGCAACAGCAACAGCAACCCCAGCAACAACACCAGCAACAACAGCAGCAACAACAGCAGCAGCAGCAGCAACAGCGACGCGATAGCTCGGACAGCAACTGCTCGCTGCTGAGCAACTCGAGCACCCAGTCACTGACAAACGGCATTGGCAATTGTTGCACATGCAACAGCAACAGCAGCAGCAGCGACGAGGATCAGCAACACAAGCAGCTCGAGGACATCGATGCCCAGGACTCGGGCTGCGATGATGAGCTATGCGAGCAGCATCACCAGCGCCTCGAAGCCTCACAGCTCAATTATTTGTGTCAAAAGTTTGACGAAAAGCTGGACACGGCATTAAGCAACAGCAACAACAACAACAGCAACAACAACAACAGCAACACAGGTGCAACCAAATCGACAGCAGCAATCGAGGATGCCAGCGCTGATGTAGGTGGAAAATGAGTCTAATTACAATTGAATTCTCACTATGCAAATGCATTTTAAATGTATTCTGATAAAAAGAAAGAAATTTTAACTAGCTGGGAAAATAGATTTATCTATCATATATAAGTTTCTCACATTTTAAAGTTTTGTTCCATTAGAAAATACAATTTTAGTTATTATTAGATGATAATTTATATTTAAACATTATTAAAATGCAAATATTTGATTTATTTCGTTGCAGGGCTTCTTCCGTCGCTCCATACAGCAAAAGATCCAATATCGCCCATGCACCAAGAATCAACAGTGCAGCATTTTGCGTATCAATCGCAATCGCTGTCAATATTGTCGCCTGAAAAAGTGCATTGCCGTTGGCATGAGCCGTGATGGTGAGTACCCTACCCGATAATATTTAACTCTTATAATCATATCCTCACGCGCTCTTATACACGCATATTTGTGCGCCAGAGAGTCAAGCTCAAACGTAATAAATAAGCAATAGAAGAAACAAACAAAAAAACAACAACTATTATGCTAAAAACCGAAGCATAACGAAACCTAACGAACGACACACAACGAAAGACGAGCGCGACAGCCGATAGTCGTTGAGTTCATTGACCAGCCATGAACGAAATTTTAGTTGGCTGGGTGTGCGTGTGTATGTGTGTGTGTGTGTGTGTGTGTTGCAACATTTGTGTAGCGCGCGCGATTTCACGGCAAAGTAAAAGTTGTTAGCAGCCTGCCCTGAAAAAGCACACGCACAAATACACACACACACATACAAGCGCAAACTATATGTAAATTTTGTTTAAACAAATTTCCAACACCCGCATGATAAATGGGAGCAGCAGCAGCAGCAGCAACAACAGCAACAGCAACTGTGCGCCATTTCGAAATTGTGTTAAAAGTTGAATGAACGCACTTAACCTAAATTCATAAAGGCAGCGAGGCCATGCCTACACAGGCCTCTCTCCCGCTCTCCCGCTCTCATTCTCTCCCACTCTGTCACAATTACTCATTGTGTTACGCCTGAAGCATTTGCTTTTATTAAATTTTGTAATAATTTGTTTAAATTAAGCGCAAGCCCGGAAAATTGTACAGGAAATGCCGCGACGTCCATATCGATTATGAAAGCAGGCAATATAAATGCATATAAAAATACAACAACAAGAAATAACTCACACACACGTACACGTTCATTGACTTTTGCCAGTCCGTCGTTGAGCTCTTCTTCTTTCTATAATGGCGGCCATGTTGCTGTCGAAAACGAAAGTGGTTCATGCTGCGTGCATGTGTGTGGGAAAGAGAAAGAGAGCTGCTCAGTCGTCGCTGTGGCTGTTTTGTAGGCAGCACGCAGACGCAGCCTGTGCCTAATAATATTGTAGTAGCTGTAGCTGTTATTGTTGTTGCTGCTGTTGTTATGCTACTTGTACATGTTATGTTGTAATTGATGAATTGGATTTTGTTATTTTTTTCTTTCCTTTTGTTGTTTTGTATTGTGATGGGGCGCGTGCTGGACAATTGGGAGAAACGAAAATGCAGGGCACGGGCTAAGCACGCATAAATAAATTTGAGAATATGTCACTAAAATACTCAAGTAAATTGTTTATTGTGTATTTTATTATATATGTACATATACATATATCTTTTAAATATGTTTGTACTGCTTTTGAATACGTTTTCTACTGTGGTATATATAAATATATTTAAAAAAAAAAACTACTGACAGACTAATAAACCATTGATTATACTACTATTTAGAAATTCGCAAATCCTTGAACTAGTTCTAAAAAGCACTAATGCCAAAAATCTCAATAAAAAACTAAAACTAAAAAAAAAGATACGGTACGACTGCCATGAAAATAAAATAACAGCAGCGAACTCAAACTCGGCAACAGCTACGAAAAAATTTCGAATTGTTTATAATAAAAATGACCGTGTGCTATTTAAGCGCAGTCGCCGCTGGCGTCGACAGCACTGCCCTCGCTTGCCTTATCTTTCAAGGAAAATTAAATTTATACATACACACATACACACACACACACATGCACACATGCACACATGCATGCATGCATATGTGGGCTGTTGTCGAAATATTTACAGTTACTTTTGAAAACAAGCACTGACCTAGAAATTGTGACCGCCGAAAATTGATAATTTTTGTGTTTTATTTAACGCATCTCCATTATGCACAGTGCATAATATGCGCAAGACTTTCACTTATCCATTTGGCCATTTCGAAACACTTTCTTTTTACGGCTTTCATAATTTCTTTTCGTGTGTAGTAATAATATTAGGCGCCATTTTGTGTGGCTTTGCCTATTGCAAAGATACGAAAATAAACGCAAGACGCGCCGTCAAAATGAAAACGAAACCGAAATTTAGCGCATACACGCACACACCACATACACCACACACACACCACCACACACTCACAGACACTCTCCCATGGATAGAGCGCCCCCCAAAAAATAAAGGCAACAGCAACAAACAAATACGAACCAGGCGACAGCCGCTGCCCGCGCGCTCCCTTTCTCTCGCGCTCTCTCTCTCCCCCACAAAGCATTCAGCCTCGACAGCAGCGCTCAGTTCATTGACCGACGAAACTGGGTCACCCAAAGCAGCGACGCAGCAGCTGAGCAGCAACAGTGAAGGTGCTTGAGAGTGTGCGCGCGTGTGTGTGTGTATGTGTGTGCATGTGTGTGTGTGTGTGTAAGTGCGCTTGATAGTAAACAAGCGTTTTTTTTACTCATTTTATTCGTTCATTTTGCATTTGCTTTATTTTATTTTTTTTGAATTGTTTAAATTTGTAGTTGTCGCGGAACAGGCATAGAAATATTTGCAGTTATTTATTTTATTTTCTTAAAGATTTTTATTAGTTTTCATATGCAGCGCACATGTAGCATGTGGCTTTTAATTAAAATGAACTTAAATTAGCGCGAGGCTAAGCAAATTGAAAGTAAATATGCATTCAAATCAAACAGGCTCAGTGTGAGATCTTAACGAAAACATATGTATGTAAGACAGTGCAGGGTAGTGCAAGAGAGAGAGAGAGAGAGAGCGCAATATGCGAGCTGCTTTACAGTTATGATTTTGCCAAAAAGCTGTACAATTTTAAGAGGTATTAGACTCAAATTGGCCAAAACTGAATAAATAATTAAAAACACACAAAAAATTAAATTCAAATGAATATTCGTGTATCTCAACAACAGCAACAACAACTAATGGCTAACAATTATCTTTGTTGTTGAGCCAAAGCACATAAAAAAATAATCAAACAATTGTCAATTATCGAAAGCACAACTTTATTTTTTTTATTTTTATTATAGTTACGTATAAGTGTATGCATGTGTGTGTGTGTGTGTGCACATGAACAACAGCTACAAGCAGTAGGCAACTCAGTGACGTTTTTGTTGTTGTCGCAATCATTATTATTTTGAGGCTACACACACACACACACACACACACACACAGACACGCACACACATGTAGATTTCGCCTTGCCGTCATCGTTGTTGCCGCTGCGAGTGTTTTGAACTTTATTCAGGTCAATTACAAATACATTAAAATGCCAGTGCTACACACACACAAACATACACACACTCACACACACACTCGTACATACGTGCAAGGCGAGGTGTTGACTAAAATAATATTGGAGGCTACCAAACAAAATGTACAATATGACAATAGAAGTGTTCGCCCCCGGGGGTTGCATTGGATTTGAAGTCTGGTTGGGTTTCTGTGCGGGTGACCGGACCCCTGGGAGCCCAGGCTGAGCTTAAATGCTGGGGTCAAAGCTTCAAGTACAACTAGCCAATGATTAGCTTGCAAACGATGATAATGAAGCTGATGATAATGATGATAAAGGCGAATGCAATAAATGAATGTGGGCGAGGTTCGTTCTCAATGCAATTCGATTCGTTGCGCAGTTGTGGGTTTCTAAGGTGTGAGCCGTAGCTGGAAGGTTAACGTTAACTAAACGTTGCGCTATTGAAGCGCGCATGCATAAGAGATGTCGCACAATTTTTAACTTACTTATTATACAATTTACTTTTGTTTCTTGTCATCAGTGAAATCATTTTACGCGTGACACGCATCATCAACACTTAAATGAACAGCGACAAGTTTGGTTGCTCTTTCTCTGTCTGTCCCACTGTCTCTGTCCCTGGCTGTGTTACATAAAGTCGTGCGTTGTGTGCGCTTCACCTGCCTTACAAATTGTATTTGTTGCTTTTTGGTTTAACGGTGAAATTGCAAAGGAAAGAGCGCAAAACAAGGCAGTCAAAAGCAGCGACTGCACAAAACGTAACAAACTTGTTTTACACGGCGACGCTGACGTCGCGGTCGACGTCGACGTTGCCTACTACGCAAGTTGAACCTTCAAAAGGTTCATTTACCTCGACGAACGAACGTCCAGCGAGCGCCAAACGAAAGAGCAGCCGCCAGTCCCACGAGCACGAACGAGACGAGCGCCACACACACGAACGACGGGCAGCAGAAAAATGTACTTTCGCTTTTTCAATGCCTCGGCGTCAAACTAGTTTCAAGCTCCAAGTGGAGCCGAGCCACAGCCAACATTGCTGCAATGCCTGTGATGTCGACGACAGCGACGCCGGCGTTGCTGCCGTTTTGGGGCACAGTTAAACGACCGACACATGGCGAGTTCAACGACTCTTGTAAAATTTCTCGAAGGTTTCGCATTGCAACATTAGCGACAGCGTCGCAACTTGTTCGACTGCAGCAGCAGCAGCAGCAGCACCAATGCATTTGCATAGGCTCTCCCACTCTCTGGCTCTCTTGCGCACACGCACACACACAAGCACACACGTTGTGTGCTCTCTTGTGTGTGCTGAATGCTGTTCATTGCACTCGGCCTCATTTTGACTGCGCGCTGCGCTTTTTCTTGCTGCAATTTTGTTTTTGCACGACGACGTCAACGAGCGAGCGAGTGAGCGAGAGAGCGAGCGAGCGAGCGAGCGAGCATTCATTTGTCGCCTTTGTTGGCGAGTGCAGCGACTTTTATTTGGGTCAGGCACGGTCATTCGCCTCAGTCGCAGCGCAGCGTTCGAGTTCGCGAGCTGCAATTGCAATTGGCGGTTGCCTTGGCGCGCATTTATTTGAAAATAATTATGAGCAGCAAAATCAAAAATAAAAAAATGAGAAAAACTAAATGCGAGGTCCGCTCGCTGCTGACATTCCCTTGGTGCGTTTGTTGTATTTCATTTATTTACGATGTACATGCGTTTATATTTATGTATTTATCGTTTTTTGTACCATTTTTTACAAGTATTTAAATATTTACTGGTAGCCTCACCTTAATCCAGTCAAAACTTTGCGTATAAATTGCGTAGCCTCAGCAAAAAAATATTGCATTTAAAAAATGATA